CGAATGTACCTCAATCAGATTGAGGACGTTTTTAGCAAAGGCCAGCTTAGGAGTACCCTAATTAAGTTAATAACAGTGTACCTACCTCTATAGTTTAAGTTTAAAAAATTTGGCTCTCAAAAGAAATTTCAATCGTTGTACTGTTGATATTTGGCTCTGTTGACTAATGAGTTTGCCAACCACTGGGCTAGGAGATGTCAGAGTCCTTTCCAGATCTGCCTCCGGACAGCGTGCCGGATTTTTCGAGGGTTGGGCATCGCTGGAGAAAACACGCTGGGATGGAGACAGAGGCCAGGGCTCATGGAAGACCCCACAACACCCCCCCCCCCACCATGACCTTGGAAAAGTTGCTTTCATTTTGTATGGGTGTTTGTGTCGATGCACCTACATCCTTCCAACGGAGCTTGAGATATTTTAGGACAAGAACATGTACAACAAAATGTAAATGAGAATAGGGCATCGGAGCCGGGGAAAGACAGGAATACAGCAGGACACACACCCGCCAAGTCCTGGGAACAGCAGAGTGGCTGTTACTCGGCTTTCCGTTTGGAACTGAGCTTCCTGGCAGCCAAGGCAAAAAGGGAGGTGAGTTCTGCGGAGGAAGGAGAGCACGCAGGAGCTCCTGAGCCCAAGGCCTCCCGTGTTCTCCCCTCCGCAGACCTGCAGGCCCTGAGGACAGTGCTGGCTGTGTTCGGGAAGGGGTGCCTGTCCAGCTCCTTCAGCTGCCTCTTCCTCTACACCAGCGAGCTGTACCCCACAGTCATCCGGTAGGTGCTGGGCCGGAGACTGGCGGTGCAGCCACAGGATCGGGGTCCGGTGGGATGGTGGCTCCTCCCGCCCCCTGCCCGGGGCCCTGGAGCTGTCCTTTCGCTGTCCTCTCAGAACCCCACGCACAGGCTGCCCATCCCTGCTCTGAACTCCCCCAGGCAAACAGGCATGGGCGTGAGCAACGTGCTGACCCGCGTGGGGAGCATGACAGCCCCGCTGGTGAGAATCACGGGGGAGCTGCACCCCTTCGTCCCCAATCTCATTTTTGGAAGGCCCCCCAACCCCCCCCCCCCCACCATGACCTTGGAAAAGTTGCTTTCATTTTGTATGGGTGTTTGTGTCGATGCACCTACATCCTTCCAACGGAACTTGAGATATTTTAGGACAAGAACATGTACAACAAAATGTAAATGAGAATAGGGCATCGGAGCCGGGGAAAGACAGGAATACAGCAGGACACACACCCGCCAAGTCCTGGGAACAGCAGAGTGGCTGTTACTCGGCTTTCCGTTTGGAACTGAGCTTCCTGGCAGCCAAGGCAAAAAGGGAGGTGAGTTCTGCGGAGGAAGGAGAGCACGCAGGAGCTCCTGAGCCCAAGGCCTCCCGTGTTCTCCCCTCCGCAGACCTGCAGGCCCTGAGGACAGTGCTGGCTGTGTTCGGGAAGGGGTGCCTGTCCAGCTCCTTCAGCTGCCTCTTCCTCTACACCAGCGAGCTGTACCCCACAGTCATCCGGTAGGTGCTGGGCCGGAGACTGGCGGTTCAGCCACAGGATCGGGGTCCGGTGGGATGGTGGCTCCTCCCGCCCCCTGCCCGGGGCCCTGGAGCTGTCCTTTCGCTGTCCTCTCAGAACCCCACGCACAGGCTGCCCATCCCTGCTCTGAACTCCCCCAGGCAAACAGGCATGGGCGTGAGCAACGTGCTGACCCGCGTGGGGAGCATGACAGCCCCGCTGGTGAGAATCACGGGGGAGCTGCACCCCTTCGTCCCCAATCTCATTTTTGGGGCCACCGCCCTCCTGGGAGGCGGTGCTTCCCTCTTCCTGCCGGAGACCCTCCATCAGCCCCTGCCCGAGACCATCGAGGACGTGGAGAAACGGTCAGTCCCCGCCCTGGCCTCGAGGGGTTCCTCCTGGGGTTCCTCCCAGGGTTCCTCCCGGGTAAGCCAGCCCGGCCCAGAGCTTCCCCTGAGCTCTCTTAGGACGTGGAGAAACGGTCAGTCCCCGCCCTGGCCTCGCGGGGTTCCTCCCGGGGTTCCTCCCAGGGAAGCCGGCCCGGCCCAGAGCTTCCCCTGAGCTTTCTCCCCTAGGTCTCCACCGGCAAAGGAGCCCAAGCCGGAGCCGGAAGCCGAAAAAGACCCCCACAGGATCCCCCTGCAGCCTTGCGGACCGGACCTGGGCCCCAGCTGAGGGCAACAGAACCCCCTTTCCCTGCCTCCAGAGACTCGTCCCAGCCAGGTCCCTGCCTGCCTCGGGGCTCCACAGGCATCTTGGGGGCCTGGGCGGGTCCCTGCTCTTAGAACAAGTCCCCTGAGAGCTTGGGGACAGTACCTCCACCACCTCATCTCCCAGCCCAGCCCCGACCCGGACAAAGATGCGACCCCCAGCCTTCCCATCCGCCTTGCCTCGTCCTCCCTGCAGCCCAGGCCCTGCCATTCTTCTGCCTAGCCCCTCCCCACTGCCACTCTCCCCACTGTGCCAGCTCCCTTCCCCTGAAGGCCCTGGGCCCCCTGGCTCCATCCCAACAAAGGCGGCCTCCCTCCCCTTCTCGCCCTCCACCCCTCCTTGAAGGGGAAGTTCCAATAAACGCCAATGAAAAACTGCTGCTCGGGAAGGGGAAGGAGACGGGGGCGGCCACGTCTGGACGTGTGAGCTGCACATCCAACGTCTGTACTTGCATGTACGTGAAAGCACGGGCACATGGGTACACGTGAGCTGGGCTGATGTGCACACGTGCGGACACGTGTCAGTATGCCGAGGCATGCACACTCCAAGCCTTACATATCAGTCTGCTCGAGCTACTGTAACAACTCGCCACAGACCGGGTCCCTTAAGCCACAGGCATTTCTCTCTCGAAGTTCCGGAGGCTGGGAAGTCCAGGATCAAGGAGCCGGCAGACACGGTTCCTTCCCGGTCAGGCTCTCTTCCTGGCTTGCAGCCAGCCACCTTCTGACTGCATCCTCATGTGGAGGAGGGGCGAGGAGGCATGCTTTCTGGGGTCTCTTCTATAAGGACACTAACCTCACCATGAGCCCCCCCCCCACATCCCCGCCAGGGCTTCATCTAACCCTAATGATCTCCCAGGGGACCCGTCTCCAATCACCATCGCATTGGAAGTGAGGGCCCCGCCCTATGAGTCTGGGCAGGGACATTACGCAGCTCGGAGCCAGTCCTGTGCGTGGGGTAGCACGTGTGCATCCACACGCCCCACAGCGCGTGTGAGCAGATGGCAGGACGAACCAGAGTGGCTGCAGGCAGATCGTCCTGCCCTGCTCGCCCCACGGCTCTGGTCCAGGTCCCAGCCCCACGCCCACCAGGAAGCTGTGACATCTTCAGCCAGAGCTGCCCCTTCCAGGTCTGCTGCCGTGTCCACCCCCCACTCCTGTCCCTTACCGGTCCCGTCCTCCCTGGGGGCCCTGCGTCCAGCCTTCCCCCTATGTCCCCGCCCACCCCCTCCCGCCTGGCTCCTCCCATCACCAGTTAAGCTCCAGCCTCTCCTATCTTAACAAAAACCAAACGAGCAAACGCCCCCTCCTCGATGCCGCGTCTCCTTCCAGAGACCACACTGCCTCCTCCCCTGTGCGCGGCCAGACTCTCCGGAGGAGCTGTCTGCCTCCGCTCTCTGACCTCAGGCCCGTGGGTACTGCGCTCTGCTCCCACCCCTTCCCTGAAACCCCAAGGGCACTCAGCACCCCTGTGCCGAGTCCAAAGGTCACTTCTCATCCCTCCTTCTCACCTGGACTCTCTGCAGATTTGGTTCTGTTGGCCACGCCTTCCCAGCTCCCTCCCACACTCTGGCTGCTCCTTCTGTCTCCCGTGGGGTCTCCTCAAAGGTCTAGTGTGGAGAGCGGCTACAGCGTTTGTACAGGTTCAAGCCTCAGACTAATGAGAGGGCACGGTCCCCTCGTGGCAAAGCCACGTGCAAGTCCCAGCACAATCATGGCCAAAGGCTGTGGCTGTGAGCTTGACCTGATGGTCCGAACTGGCCCCAGGAGGTGGCTGAGTGATGTGGGCTGTGGGAGGTGCAGCAAGTGCTGCCAAAACAAAGCTTGACAGAGTTCAGGTGCATGTAATTGAGTAGATTGGAAACCCGCGAGAACATTGTAAAAACATCTTGACCACGCCCTTACTTTGCCTCGTGGAAACTGGCTATAAAATAAAGACTCGGTTTGCAGGCCGTGGCACTGTCTCTCCATCCGAGAGCAGCATCCCACCCAGCCCCAGCTTTATTCTCTTGTCTGTCTTCTTTAATCCTTCACCAACCCCCACCCCCAGGTTCACCCCTGGCCGTGCCGAGCGTGGCACAGTCTAGGACCCCAGAATCTGCTAACTAAACAGTTACATGACCCTGCACCTCTGACGGGCCCAGAGGCCACTGCTGACCCGAATCTCCTTAATCCCCTGCTCCCTCCTGGGCCTGGGTCTGAGCGTGGAGCTTCTAGTCTGTCTCTTGGTCCTGGTCCTGGGAAGGCCTATTAGCGTGAGGCCGGGCTGGTCCAGGTGCAGGTGGAGCAGGTGCGGAGAAAGGCGATCTTGGTCCTGGTCCTGGGAAGGCCTATTAGCGTGAGGGCGGGCTGGTCCAGGTGCAGGTGGTCCAGGTGCAGGTGGAGCAGGTGCACAGGGAGGAGGACAAGAGCCCGCCTGGGCCCCGAGGGACAACCGGCAAGTCTATTTGCACTGATTCCTCCTGGTGCCAGGTCCCAGGGATCAGCCCTGGATGCACTTTCTGGGCCTGGGTTCTAGCAAATATCCCTGGATTCTCCGAGTAAATCCCCCTTTTTGTTAAAGTTAGACTCGGGGGTTTCCATTCCTGTAACAAGCAGGTCCTCTCCCTCCGTCATCTCTCCTGGGACCCTCCTCTAACTCTCTCTCCAGCACTGGCCGCGGAAATATAACGCAAGCCACCAATGTAAGTTGAAAATTCCTAGTAGTGGCTTTTCTAAAGTTTAAAAAAAAAAGTGAAATTGATTTTTTTTATCGATTTTTTTTTTTTACAGAGAGGAAGGGAGAGGGAGAGGGAGGATAGAGAGTTAGAAACATTGATGAGAGGGAAACATTGATTCAGCTGCCTCCTGCACACCTCCTACTGGGGATGTGTCTGCAACCAAGGTACATGCCCTTGACCAGAATAGAACCTGGGACCCTTCAGTCCACAGGCCGACACCCTATCCACTGAGCCAAACTGGTTAGGGAGAAATTGATTTTAATAATAGTATATCAGACATCACCATAATACATGGCATTTAGCCCAGTATATTCATATGTTACCCTTTCTATATGTAATCAATGTGAAGTTATCAATGAGATATCTTATGGCTTTCAATTCAACTGCCCGCACTGACTTCCCCCCATCCCATCTCATGGCACTTGGATTAGGGCAGTGGTTCTCAACCTTCTGGCCCTTTAAATACAGTTCCTCATGTTGTGACCCAACCATAAAATTATTTTCGTTGCTACTTCATAACTGTCATGTTGCTACTGTTATGAATTGTAATGTAAATATCTGGTATGCAGGATGGTCTTAGGCGACCCCTGTGAAAGGGTCGTTCGACCGCCAAAGGGGTCGCGACCCACAGGTTGAGAACCACTGGATTAGGGTCAGCTGACAATGGGGCCACCAAGGCCTCCCCTGGGCTTACCCAGGTCTCGACGTGGAGGAAGAGGAACGGGCTCAGCGAGGAACACTCGCCACCTCACACCACCTCCACCTTCCAGCCGTGCAGGACTCGGGGGGCGGGGGGGAGCTCCCAGGAAGTCCTGGCCATGACCATTCCGGGCTGCTCCAGGGTATTTACTGCAGACACAGGAAGGGAAGGGAAGACGCCCAGGAAAGCACTTCCCAGTCACATGATCAGGACTCCAGGTGAGCTGAGGTGCCCGGCAGGATGCTCTGACCCTTCACGTGACCCACTCATTCTTCTTGCTGTTCCCAGAGCCCGTTCCGGACCCCATCATCCTCTCCCCAGCTGCTCCCCGCCTCCCCACCTCCCCGCTCCCTGCCCCTGAGCTGGGCTTGCAAACGGCCCAGTGAATTGCCCTTTACTAAGCGCCCCTCTCTTGGGCAGAGTCCTCGTACTGAGCCGCCTCGTTGGTTACTGGCCTCACGTCCAGCCTCCAAATGGCAGTCTTCCCTTTCGGCACCGTCCACCGGCCAGGGGAGCCAGGCCACAGGCATAAAGCTCACAATGTGGCTCCTTGCTCAGAGCGTGGCTATGGGCCTGGCAGCCACTCAAAGTCCGCCAGGCTTCTCTCCCGGCCGATGGTCTTCAAACTCACACTTAGGCCCCGTGATAAGCAAGAAGCAAGAGTGTTTTCTTTGCTCTGTAAGTTATCTAATTGAAAGGTGTCCTAAGATAATCAAAATCACACGAAGTCGCACTCCTTAAATCCCATTTGTTTAACAGAATAGATTATACAAAATCCAGATGTCTCCGAAAATCAGGGTCTGGGATAGCTGCCCGCGTGGCGGAGAGAGCAATGGGGTTGAGAGAACTGAGGCCTAGAGCCGCTCGCCGTGTGGCGCTGGGCACATCCCTTGTCCACTCTGAGCCTCCATCCCGGTACCTGCACCGTGAGGTGTTTCCACCTGCGGGCAGCACTCATCTCTGCCGGCATGTGGTTCTGTGGCTCTCAGCCAATCGGAAGTCCCTGTTGGATCCCTTTGTCCCTGCTCTGCAAATCATTCGCCCCGTGACCATTTCCATCTAGAAACTCTCCACGAGCTGGGAGGCTGTGGGGAGTCCCCCCCGTTACCCAAGAGGTCCCAGGAGCCAGCCGCAGTCCAGGCCCTGGAGCCTCCACTTGCGCTTTTTCCAGACTAAACCTGGCCGGACGCTGGTCAGGAACGAGGGCGGGAGCTCTTCTCCAAGGCGGCGCTGGGCTCAGGCTCAGAGAGGGAGGGGCCTTGGAGGGACCCGCCGTCTCCCCCACTGCCCTCAGCACTGCCCGCTCCCCCATGCGGGCACCAGGCTCTGTTTGTGCAGCTGTCCTCACACCCCCAGGCCACGGGCTCTTGTTTGTATGCCTTGGCCTGGAGAACGTGGTCAGGCATCTGGACACCCACTGCGTCCCAGCCCAGAACCAACGCCGGTGGGAGGAGGGCGGCTGGGCCGAGTCACGTCTCTCTCTGGGCCTGGCCTCTTCTCTTCTGGACATGGAGGCCGGTGATCTCCACGACCTGCAGCTGGGCAGTCCACGCCTCTAAGAACCTGGCCTTGAAGTTAGACGGAATAAGACAATAAACACCCTCTCACCACACAAAGGTGCCGTTTGTGTCAACTGCACGGTGATAACAGGGCACCTGGACTCCTTACGGGAGAAACTGCAAAGCAAACTGCTTCTTCTCAACAAGATGGAGGTGTGTGCCCAGAGGAAGCGAAATGTTCTTATTCCCTTCGTGGCCCTTTGCATCGGCTCATCTGTTCAGGGCCTGGGCGCCTCCTGCAAAACCATGGAACCCGAACCCTCCATCGTGTCCAGACATCAGCCAGTGCGCCTGGTGCAGACGGGTGGCGGGCCAGTCGGTCGGAACCAGGTGAGCGAGGGACAGCCAGAGACCCCACGCGGAAACGCCCCATCAAGGGCAAGTGGGAGCCCCAGCCTGACAATGGGGGCGGAAGGGGGCGGAGAAGAACTCGGCCTGGGCCCAGGAAGATCGGGGTCCCGCTCGGCCCCCCAGGTTAGGCCTGGGCAGGAGGAGCTGCTACACTGGGGGGCCCAGGCCGTTTGGCTCCAATCAAGCAAAAGGTGGAGGAGAAGCCCCCGTCCTCGCCTCGCAAACAGTTTTCCCATCAGCCGAGCCGTGGGCAACCTCAGAACTGTGCTGGTGGGAGTCATCTGTGTGACGGATACTCCAGCCAAGCAGGTGTGGGCTGGATCGCGACGCAACCTACGTCCAAGACATCCTCTAGGTCGGGTTTCTCCACCTGACTGTTCACGTCTCAGGTCCAGACAATTCTTGGCTGTGTGGGGATCACTGTTCTTAGGATAAGAGGTGCATAGTTTCTCTCTAAAGTCAACGTGAAAGTTTTATTTTTTAACCAGATATAAGTGATAAGTACAGCTCATCCTCGCTGACCTCTGGGCAGGAGCTACTGTAAGATCTGTACCTGGACTGGCTCAGGTAACCCTCCAACAGCCCAAGAGGCCGGCACGGCCGTTCGCTCCACCTTGCAAACAAGAACGCTGGGATACAGAGGAGTGTGACAACTCGCCCGGCTGCACAGCCAGAGGATGTGGATCCAACTGGGCTGACTCCAGAGTCCATGTTGTCTATCGTAGTTGGACTAAAAGCAAGACGCTGCAACCTGCTCTCTTGGGATGCCCAACCCATGATCCAACCAATCACGGCTCGGCGCTGCCCGGCTCGTGAGTGACCAGAACTCAGGAGCCAAGTGTTGGAGGAAATCAAGTGAGTGTCTTAGAATTGTGACTAAAAATAAGTTCATGCTCATCACAACAAAAGTGGGGGGACTTGAATCCAGATAAACTAGAAGGTTAACGCCGAGGCACCAGGAGAGTCGATCTACGTCCCGCACGATGCTGGTCTTGGGCCCCACTGCTTCAAAAGCAGCCTCTACTTTCTCTTCAGTTGGAAAAGCTGTGGTCCTAGGAGACGGGAGCTGGCCCCAGAAGACCAAAGGCCAGGGTTGCCAATTTTAGCAAATGAGAAGGCAGGATGCCCAGTGAAATTTGAATTTCAGATCAATGAACACTTTTTTTTAAATATTTTTTTTATTGATTTCAGAGAGGAATGGAGAGGGAGGGAGAGAGAGAGAAACATCAATGATGAGAGAGAATCATGGATCTGCTGCCTCCTGTACGCCCCACACTGGGCATGGAGCCCACAACCCAGGCATGTGCCCTGACCGGGAATCGAACCATGACCTTCTGGTTCACAGGTTGACGTTCAACCACTGAGCCAGGCTGGCCGGGCAATGAATACATTTGTAGTATAAGTATGTCCTATGTGATTTTAAGGACATACTTATAGTAAAAAAAAAAATAGATGATAGATAGATAGATTGATAGATAATAGATAGATTGATAGATAGATGATAGATAGATAGATAGATAGATAGATAGATAGATAGATAGATGATAGATTTGTTGATCTGATATTCAAGTGAACTGGGCGTCCTGCACGCTGCCAACCCTCCCCAAGGACAGACCGGGTCGTGTCCACTAAAAACGACAGACGCCCCCAAGAGGCCGCCACACTCCTCAGAACCCAGTCCTCTCCCTGAAAGGAAGACGAAAAGGTCCCGGCCTGTCCCCTCCTGCCCCCTCCTGCCCCCAGATGCCCAGATGGGCCCTCGAAGTCCATCCCCTCCCACCATCCCCACCTCAGTCCACCCTCTCCTGCCCTTTACACCCACTTGGAGAAATTCCACGGACACCAGGATGCTTGGAGGGTTAATTAATCCTTCTGATACTTAGTCACACTTTAACTGCTTCCCTCCGGCCAAGGATTAAATGCTGCCCGTGGAAGGGTTCAGGCCACAGCTGCCCCAAAAGCTGAGCCCCCACCAAGTGAGAAGAGGCTGGGAGGGGCAGGCCAGGAGAGAGAGAAGGAAGGAGGGGCGCTGACCAGGCCGCGTCCCCCCCACGGGGCCAGCTCAGATTCAGCTCCAGGAGCAGCCCAGCTGCAGGAGCCACGGCAGCCCCATCCTCCGGTGAAGGACAGCAGGCGGACGGACACACAGACGGGGATCCTGGGCCTGAAGTCCTCAGCCCCGAGCCACCCGGCCGGGCCCGGCCCCCATGGCCTTCAATGACCTCCTGAGGCAGCTGGGGGGCATCGGCCGCTTCCAGAAGGCCCAGGTCACTCTGGTCATCCTGCCCATGCTCCTGATGGCCTCCCACAACACCCTGCAGAACTTCACCGCCG